GGCCCCGCGCTCCGGGAGCGCCCGGGCTGAGGGGGGCCTGGGATCCTCCCCGGCTCTTACCCGTGCCGCCTCAACTTACCTGGCTTATACTCGCTCTTATTGTCAAGCCACTACAGAGACCGTGCTACTTTATACTGCAGTTGGTGGGGATTTTTTTCTTTCTAGAAATCCACTACACAAACGCTGCTGGGAAAACAATAGGCAGGGTGTAAGTTCTCTTATGTCCCCTTCTCCCTGCCAGATCCCTACTGACAAAGACATTTATGACAAAAAGCAAACCTCTCTCCAGTTCCAGAGGTGCCACGTGGGCTGTCTGGGCCCCATGGTCAGAGCTGGGCCCGGCTGAGCTCAAGTGACTCCAGCAGGTCACAGCCCTGGCCAGAGAAGGCTGAGGCAATGCTGTGCTGGTGGGTGATGCAACCAAAGGCTCTGAGAGGGCTGTATTTCTTATTGGAAACATCTGCCTGTCACTTGGCATTTGAATGAGCAGTTGGAAGCTGCTGGTAGGTGCTTGTGTCATGGCAATGACTGTGACAGGCTTTTTCCACCTCTGAGGAGATGGTTGTGACATTTGCTTTGAGTGCAACCCTGAAGTCACCGAGTTCCTCTGGTTGAGAACAATTTCCTCCTAATATCTATTCTAAACCTACCAACACTGTAAAGCCATTCTTCTTCGTTCTATTACTACTTGCCCTTGTAAAAAAAGTCCCTCTCCAGCTTTATTTTAGCCCCTCTGATTGCAGAGGCCCCCAGAACTTCCTGCTACCAGCTTGCAGGAAAACACCACGTGTGGCATCATGGTCTCATTGGGAGGTTCACTGCCACCCTGCTCTCTGCAGCTGCTTCCCAGCAGCCCCTTCCCAAAAAACACCCACTAGAGTACATGGCTCCTGCAGACAGCACACACAAGTCCAATCTGGTTACAGCTATGTTAGGTGTGCAGAGCAGCACAAGTCAGATGTGCCAGAGACAGCTAAGCAGTGTCATCCTTCCTGTTCAAAGCACGGAAACATGGATGCAGCACAGTCCATGCTGGCCATGTCAGCCACAGCAACACCCTCCGGGAGGCTCCCTGTTCTTGATGTCAACAAGAGCTAGTGCTGTTCTGGGCCCACACTGACAAGGGCAGTTGTGGCACCTGGAACGTGAGGCCAAGGATGCAGCTTGTGTCTGTGGCTCCTTGATCCTTCCTTCTTCCTATCTGCCATGCTTACACATCCCCCTCATCAACTCCTCCCTCTCTCTCTGCCCTTCTCTCCTCCCTGCTATCTTTTCCCCCTGAATCCAAGGTTTGTCCCACCTGTGAACAGACTTGGTGTTGCAGGTGCTGTCAGCTAGCTCACCTCGGCCTTCCATGGCATTACAGATGCAGTTTCCTGGGTCCTTCTGCTCCTACCAGGTTCTTCTCCCCAGAATGACCCCAACTCTTCCTTCAAACACCTCTGAAGTGTGACCAGCTCACGCATCAGTGTCCCTTTGTTATCTGAAATCTTGCTCTTTCTTTATGGCACTGTAACTCCTTTCAGCTTCTCCCTGCCTTTGTGACAGTCAGCAATTTTGCTTGTCATGCTCAGGAGCTTCCCAGGTCTGCTCTGTTAGCTAAGGCTTTTGCCAGGCCCTAGTCACCAGCTTGTGTGCCTCAATGTGTCCTCCCTAAGGTGTCTGCATGTGGCATTGTCTTCTCCTGTCCTCTTCCTAGCCTTGATGTGCCAGTCTTCTCCATCCTGTGGAGCAGACAGTTCCAGCCCTTTGGAGTGACTCCCTTTGTGCCCAAGTGGTCTGGCACAGCCTCATTTTGCAGGTTCTGGGCAAGGAAGTTCTTGCCTTGCTCAGGAGACCAAACTGGACTGAAAGCATGTTAAACCACAAACATAGGCAACTTTATTTCAGCAACTAAGTCAACGTTAGCATTTGCATACATGCAGAGGAACAATGTGGGCAGGACAGAGTGGGCCATTGGTACTGAGGCGGCCTTTGGTTCAGCAGGCATTGCCTCAGCAGGAAATGGTCACCGTCCCATGCAACCTGCACTGGATGCTGTCCATTCTCCTGCTCAGTCTGTAACTACCTGTAGGTTCTTCAGGAGGTCCCGGATCCCAGTGAAGAATTCGATCAACTTCTTGAGTGGAAATGGACAGCTCTTACTCTCTTCCACTGGTGTCGGTAGCGAACTTGGATTCTGCGTGGGAGGTGGTCTTGGCGATGGATTCTGAGTGGGAGGTGGTCTTGTCCATGGATTCTGAGTGGGAGGTGGTCTTGTCCATGGATTCTGAGTGGGAGGTGGTCTCGGCCACGGATTCTGAGTGGGAGGTGGTCTTGGCGATGGATTCTGAGTGGGAGGTGGTCTTGGCCATGGATTCTGAGTGGGAGGTGGTCTTGGCCACGGATTCTGAGTGGGAGGTGGTCTTGGCCATGGATTCTGAGTGGGAGGTGGTCTCGGCCACGGATTCTGAGTGGGAGGTGGTCTTGACCATGGCTTCTGAGTAGGCCATGGGGTGTTCGTATGATGAGTCCAGGGTTGTGAGGCAGTTGTATAATGACTCCATGCCCAAGAAGACTCTACTTGTGGAAGCAGTTCCATCTGAATCAGAATCCAGTTATAGAAGTGCTGAACAGAAGTATATATCCCAGGCCGTTTTTCTCTGGCACAGCCTCTTCCCCAGCTGGTCACTCCAACAACCCAGAAGAAGTCAGCACTGTTGTCTTTGCACATGAGTGGACCCCCGCTGTCACCCTGCAGAGGAGCAGAAAGGATTAAGGTGGTATTGGGTGGCCCCTGTCAGCACTGGGGCTGCCTCCTTCTCTCTCACAGCCCCTGCCAGAGCTGTATTCCCAGCAGAGCAAGGCTCTGCTTAGGTGCTGGAGCCTCTAGAAGCTTGGCCAGGAGTGGGTTGGGGGTCTATGAAGTCAGGCTCTCAGCTTTGCCCAGTGATCCTGGATGTGCAGAGGACAGATGTTCCAGCATTGGTATCTGGACCTCTAGGCTGCCACGAGCACTACAGCAGGGCTTTCTGGGCAGAGTGCCAGGCCTCTGGGACTAGGCAGGCCCTGGGCTAGGCCCTGTAGACGGGGAATGGGTGGGAAGGCCCAGGAAAGGTGGGGAGCCGGAGCTGAGGGTAACTGGCCAGGAAAAGCAGGGGCTGGGCAGTGTTGGGGTGGTACTGCCTGTGCTGCTGGGGGCTGAGTGATTTGTCACACGCTCCTACCTGGCAGGTGTCGATGCCACCCTCTGGGTAGCCAGCACACAAGTTGTGGGCGTGGACGTCCCCCCCATACCACTCGCTGCTGTTGCAGAGCTGGACACTGATAAGGTGGACCTTGGCCTCCTGCAGGACATCACTTACTGTTTGAGCTGTGAGTACAGAAAGGAATGAGGACCTGGCAGCTCACTGCCACTTTGCCCATCTGGGTGTCATCCCCTTCCCTAGGGCTTGGCTTTGTTTCTACAGAGGTGCTGGAGCTCTGTGTCCCTGCTGTCTTTGTAAGCCTGACTCTGGCTTTGGCCTCTGCTGTCAGGAAGCCCAACCCATTTTCCCAGTGTATTGAGCTTGCTCTCCATTTTTGGAAACTCACATCTTGCAGTGGTGGCACCCCAGCCAGCAACATAGCAGGTTTCCAGCTGTGCCACACTCAGTGTAGCATTGGGTACGCAGACCAGCTGGACGTAGGGGCTGCACTGGACAGGCTCATTCAGTTCCAGCAGCGCAATGTCATTGCTCTGGTCGGCAGAATTGTATTCCTTGTGAACCAGCAGCCGCTTAATCGTGCGCACCTCGGCCCCAGGGCCTGGCTCAGTCAGCTGGGTGGCCCCAATCAGCAGGCGAATGGCGCTGATGTTCCTGAAGGCACGTGGAGAGAGGGGTGAGAGGGAGCAGAGCCTGGAGCTGTGGCAGCCCAGCAGTGACTACTCTAGCATGCCTTAGGCTCTGGGAATGTCAGCTGAAGGCTGCTAGGAGTAGTGGCATGTGCCCACCCTTCTCCTGAGTAATTTCTCATCTGGGTTCTGCACTGCCCAGGCACTGGGCACACTGCAAGGAAACGAGATGGAAGAGGCGTATGGCACTGCTGACAGGGAACCTGCTGATGTTGTGGGGATATCCCTGTTGCCTGCTCCTTCTTACCTGGAATCAGCAAAGCAGTGGGCTGCCGTGAGGACCCACTGTACACTGATGAGGGACCCTCCACACAGATGCCCCGTGCCTGCAACCGAGGAATCCTGGATGCTGACAAGCCAGGGCCAGGCCCCTGCCTTGGCGCTTGTGCCACCCACGACGCGTGTCATGCCTCGCTCATCATCAGAAGCCAACGGCCGGAGCCCACAGTTCCCTCTGCAATTAGAAAATCATTTCCATCCTGCTCCATGGCTTGCTGCTGCTCGAGCAGGAGCTCTCCACAAGGTGTGCAGGGACAGCAGGCCAGGGAAGGCCATGGGGTGTGAGCCTGTCCACAAGGAACTGAGGCTTTCCTCTGGGGTTTAGGAAGCTGTGGCCTGGCCATGGAGGCCAAGTGGGCCCTCTCCAGGGAGCCCCTGAAGTGCTGCCCAAGCTCCCTCCCAGAGCCTGGGGCCACTTACTCGCAGGCGTTCCACATGCCCTGCACAGGCCGGCATGTGGCCAGCAGGACGAAGAGGCAGAGCAGCAGCATCGCTGCCCGTGTCTCGTGTCAGCTGCGGGAGTGAGGCCTCAGCGCACCAGCACAGCCGCAGTGCCCACAGCACCTGAAGCGCCCTCAGCCCTGGGCTGATGTCACAGAGCAGCCGGTTCCATGTTCTGGGCCTCTGGCACAGTGAGCAACATGGAACCATAGAATGGTTTGGGGTCGGAATGAACTTTAACAGTCATCCAGCTCCAACCCTGTTAGGGTCAGAAGTACAGACTGTACCCTTATCTGTGATGCCTGGCTCTGACACCCAAGAGAGCGCTGAATTTTGTGTAAAACCATGGAGACAGCTGTTAAAGTTAAGCAGAGAAATTGGGAATGTGAGTGTGTAAGTTATATAGAGTTTTCTTAAGTCACTAGGTGAGAAAGAGTTTAAGGTTTAAGCTATTTTAGAAAATAAGAGACAAGATGGAGGACTTAGGGTGTTGTCACTTTCTCCTTTTTCTTCCTTCATCTAGGGATTTTTGGGTAATACTAAGTGATTAGGTAGAAAATGCCACAATGCAGCACACAGGTGTCGGGTCATTGGAGCACTAAGAAAAATAATTTACTTGGCATTTGTTAATTGGACAAATAGACATACAAAAGACCTTGAAGAGGTTCTTCATTAGCCATTTTGCACCTCTCTATCTCAGTATATGTAGCTCCTTGTACTCTGTAGATATGTAATATAGATAAGAAAAGAATAAACAGCCAAGTCCAAACAAGAGAAAACAGTCTCTCTCATCACTCTCAGTCCAAGGAAAAAGAACCCAATTACCAGTATCGCATCCCAACACAACCCCTGCCATGGGCAGGGACATCTCACACTAGACCAGGCTGCTCAAAGATCCATCCAACTGGGCTTTGAACATTTCCAGGGATGGGGCAGCCACAGCTTCTCTGGGCCATCTGTGCCTGTGCCTCACCACCCTCACAGTCAAACATTTCATCCTCATGCCTATTCTAAACCTGCTCTCTTTCAGTTTGAAACCATTCCCTCTTGTTCTACTTGCCCTTATAAAAAATCCTTCTCCAGCTTTTTTGTAGGCACCTCTGCTTGCAGGATGAGGGCGTGCAGGCCCTGGGGCAGAGGGAAGCACAGATGCATTTGTCAGCAAGACGGACCATTTTGCTTTCATTCTTTAAAATACAGCAATTTGACGGACTTTTCCTATCATTTTCCTAATATGACAATTTGACTGTCTCTTCCTGGCCATTTTTCCTAAGTAAAAGTCAGCTTGGTCATGTATGTGTGGTATTTGGGCCTGTCTATCGAAAGTGGAAAATACCTGTGTCCCTGCTTTCCAGGACGACTTGTCAGCTGCAGTCAGCATTCTCTCTGAAAGACTATAAAGTGCTAAGTGCTGCCTACAAAAGCAAGGCATAGAGAAAACACTGATGAAAGCACATGATATTAAGAAGCATTGAGATATATCTGATAAAATCTAGCTTTGCTTTCCATGCCAGCCCATATATTCTGAAAACCTCCTGAAGATCCTTAACCAACCAACCAAAAAAGAAAATATGTAATCAAAATGGCATCTAAATATTAACCTGCTGACTGAAGCAGATGTATACAATTAATATGTGTATATACACATATTATTCTAGTTCCATAGTGCTTTCTACCCCTTTTTCTGTTTTCAGACAGAGCAAGGAAAAGATACCCACAAAGAAGAAAAAATGGGAAACTTGAAAAAGAGTCGAAATCTGTACTTGCAAACCAAATTAAATTTTTAGACACCTTGGTGTTTAAGCACTTTCTTTTCAATCTTATTAAAAGTGCCAAGTTCTCAGAGAGTACCTGTCCTCCCAAAATGATGGTTACCTGATATGTCAGTGCCAGCTGAGCATCTGCCATCATTTCTTATTATGGGAAATGTAGGCCCCATGTGTTTACACTTCTTGAGACTGTCAATCTCTTTCAAGGACTTGGCAAAAGGTTTGCATTTGCATTGGTTTTACTTATCTGAGTTGTTTTCCTATTCTTATGATCACCCTTTTTCTCTGTGAGAGTTTGACTTTCTGGTATAGTAATATCTATCCACATAAAAATGAAGGCTCGACACATTTTAAAAGGGAGAGTAATTTAATCATTGATGAAGGTGCAATATTCTGAGGAAGTCTTAAAACCACCAGAGGTCACACATGGGTTTCTTCCTTCCCCTTTTCCTCTTCCAGCATTTTTTTAAAATTTGTTTGGTTGTTTGCCTGTGCAGCTGGATTTTTGATACAAGGTAGCTAAACTTCACATGTGGAAGATACTGAAAAATAACTGCATTCAATGTTTGAACAGACCAAGTGATTCTAAATAAGTATTTTCCTGTGAAAATTAATGCTGTGCCCAGAATATGAAATGAAGCTGGTTTGCACAACTTGGCAAATTTGTAATGTATCATTTTAATGACAAACAGGAGAAATTAAAAGTATGTGGGTGTTCTTTTGTTGTTGTTTTAGGAGATTTTTGGTTGGTTGGTGGTTTTTTTTCTTTTAAGAGGGATATGGCAGTCAACACATTTGGAGAAATCTCATACAATGTTAGTTATGTCAGCTAGAACCACAACTTCTGCTGGCATAAAGGTCACATATAGAGTTTTCTTTTTGGTGACGATGCTGAACAGCTGAATATCTGAATGGGATACATGTCTCATGCTGATTTGAAATTTACTAGAGAAGTACAGACTTAGGATAAACTACATTGTTCCTGCCTTCTAATTTCAGCCTGTATTAGCATCCTCTGTGTGTGAGTACAAACTGATATATAGGATAGTATTTGTAGTCATACAATTTTGTGGTACTATGTCTTGCAATTAGTTGACACATTTCAACTCTAAATCAGTTCCCAAACAACAACCAAAGAATAATCAAGGGTACTTAAAAACTAGTTGGAAGTCATTGATCAGACTCTTCCATTATATTAGGAAAAAATCATAGACATAATGGAATGTGTGCTGCAGAAGCACCAGTGACCACACCAAATAAGCTCAAATCAACAAAAATCTAATTAAGTAAACTTAAAAATTACCTACAATGTATTCTTGAAAGATAAGAGGAGCACAAAGTATCTACAACTTCCAGAACAGAGGTAACTGAAACAGTGGAAGATGTTGGAATATTCCAGGACCTGATCAGGGCCCTGGGCCATGACTGACAGACACACGAACACAAAGAGTGTCCAAGTTAAAGATGTTCAAATCCACTGTCAGCTCTGGCTTCTCAGGAGACTTGGGGTACTCCATAATACTGAGGAAGGAGAAATAACTGGGACACTCATTAACACAAACCAGTTACCAGTTACTGTGGTGGAATTTCTCTAGAAACTAGGCATCCACATTTATCAAGAATCCAGGCCTGCCAGCCCTCTCATTTTCCAAACTGCAAAAAACCAAAAAATAATAAGGCCCAGGACAACCATCAGTCCAAATTTTTCACTTCAAGTCAAAGGACTGATTTGACTTTTGATTTTTAAAGGACAACTATCATGGCTTTTAAGCAATAATCTGCAGAAGAGATGAATAGCACACTTAGGATCTTCATGATTTATTTGGCAAAGCCTATTAGTTCTTTCTGGAGAAAATTAATAATAATTCTCATCTATTTGTCAGTGGGAATTTAATGTAGGCTAAAAAGTCACTGAGAGTTTTCTTCAGATGGAACTCTGATCAAAACAGAACAAAAAAGATGAGTTTGAGAAAAATGCTTAATAAAGTCTTCTTTAAATGAAAATTACTCAAGACTTGACTGTTAATCAAAAGAACATTACTTACCTTACTCAGCACCACTGCATCAGAATCTGGCAGCAAGTTTTTAAAAGGAACCCTTTTCTCTTTCTTATATCGTCATAATTTATAACAGCTGAATTATTGGCTATAAATACTCTTTTCTTTCTACTAATGTATTATGCTTCTGGGATTGTTCAGAGCAGATATTTTGTTACTAAGAGAATAAGCTCCTAAATTCAGGCTTCTGGAAAAAAAAAAATTAAAACACATTCAAAGTAGCAGCTGTTCAAAGAATATCACTGTGCCATCTTAACAGACTAAATTTTATTTTCACTAATATTAAAAAATATTGAAATTTGTCACTAAATTTATTTTCTGAACAAAGGAAGCTGCTGCTTGCCATAAACTGGAGCATATTTATGCATATACCAAAATTAAAGGTTCATATTCAATTCAAATATAAAAATTCAAATGGGATGATTTAGCAGAGGGAGTTTGCTGTTGAAAGCAGAGAGTTAGATAAGCAAAATACATTCCTAAAAATATGTTTAGTATCAAATTATAGAACATAAAAGATAATGGTGTAATATATATAATCATACACATGGAGGAGTTTTTCTACACATACTATGCACCTTACTTTAAAACAACACAAAAAACCCCTACCAAAAAATATTCTGTAAAACTAATACCAGCAAGATTTGAATTTTGTTGGGTTTTTTTGAAAATGCCCTGATAGATTCTTAATATGAGATGGTTTGGAACACTGATATGTGACAGTGTAGCTATATACAGCTCTTTATGCCTTTTATAATCAGAGAGGTTACACGTTAGTGTTTTGTGTCACAAGTAGGAGTTACCTGATCGCAAACACGATACGAGTCGGGCTCCGCTGACTGCAGTGCTTCTGTTCTCTTCCCTGACTCACACAAAATCTCATGTATCACAATTCCCCTGTTTTTACACCTGCAGAGGCTGAGGGAGGAAGTTTGTGAGCACAGGATGGTGCAGTACTGTGGGATGTGGCTCTGGCTCCGGGAGAGAGCAACGCGGGATGCTCGCAGCCAGCCAGGCTGGAAAGATACAGGCTTCTCACATTAACACTCTGTGAGCTGCAGCAAACAGAGTTACCAGATTAGCTGGCTCAAATTGTGTCATGAACTTATTTTTAGCATGCTATTATGCCTCTGGGATATATTTTATTTATGAGGGAATTGAACCTAAACAGATGTTGTAGCTGTTTTCTGAAAACGGGCTTTATGCAACTTGCTGTGAGGAACCTGAAAGACTGTATGTTTTGGGGAAGGGGCAGAGTGAATGTGTGAGGCTAACATAGTAGTCCTGAGGCGCTTCTGGGAAATCAATTTTCC